TAGGCAGCTGTTGGTGTAGAGGAGAGGAGAGGAGAGTGACAGGAGCGTTACTTGAATTGAAACCGGCTTCATAACCGACAACTGTTCCGATCGATTTCATTCGTCGACGCGACGCGGAAGCTTCGTCGTCGCCTATCCGCTCCATCATGGAAGCCCTGATACCTGTGATAAACAAATTGCAGGACGTGTTTAACACCGTCGGTGCTACCGTACTACAACTGCCGCAGATCGTCGTTCTGGGCACGCAGGTTAGCCGAAGTGTCCGTTCGGCCCGCAGTCACTTGACACCAAACCGCAAATGGCAAATCCGCCCCTTTCATCTGGACTTTGCTACCTTCTCCGATTTTCAAGGTTAAACAAATGCGCAATCGAAATCTCTATCCGGTAGGAGAGAAAATTGCGAGAAGGTACAATCGAAAGGAACGGATCTAACATTGGTTAACCGACATTTGAATTTTGTTCTATTGTCATATTTTTTTTCCTTTATCATGACGTAATGGTTATCTGTTCATTATAAGCTACTTGCTGTCCATTAGTGTTGTAGTTGAAGAAAAAATAATACTATATTTTGCTATGTATGAATCATATACTTAGGAGTATCATTATATTACCTTTGTGTAATCAATCGACAGGCAAAGTCAAAATATTGTGATGTGACTTTGATATACAATCTTAAAGGAATTCTGATCTTTGGCCAATATTCATAGTTAGTTTTTATATGTAAGACAGTCTTGAGATATCATAATTTAATCACAGAGCTGTATTAATATTTTAAGACATTTATGATTACTATGTTAAGATGGCATTAAAATAAGATATGAATATCGGTCTTAGATCTGACGCCTTATTTTGGAAAGATATTGTATACAAAAATAGTAGCGAAATTTTTAATATAGGTATGAAACATATACTGCAGTATTTTTATACATTTTCATGTGATATTTTTTAAGAATACAACCTATGTTCTTTTCAGATAAACTTATTGCACCATTCATTTTTTCCTCTTTCTTGCTATGTAGAGAAAAAAGGAGGAAATAATAGAGGATGCAAAAGTTCAATTGAAAGAAAACCATATATTTTTAAAAAATAAAAAACGAATAAGATCTATTGTGGATATATGGAATAAGAGCAAATACTGAATTTTTCAGAGTTCAGGAAAGTCGTCTGTAATAGAAAGCTTGGTGGGCCGTTCTTTCTTACCACGAGGGACTGGTATTGTCACGCGACGTCCATTAATATTACAACTTGTATATACACCCAAAGATGATCGAGAACACAGAAGTGCAGAGAATGGCACTCTGGACTTGGAGGAATGGGGAATGTTTCTGCATACAAAGAACAAGATTTACAAAGATTTCAACGATATTCGTGCAGAGATTGAAGCAGAAACTGACAGAATGGCTGGGGCAAACAAAGGGATTTGTCCAGAACCAATTAATCTTAAAATATACTCGATGTCTGTTGTTAATCTGACGCTTATAGACCTACCTGGTATCACAAAAGTGCCAGTAGGTGATCAGCCAGAGGACATCGAGTCTCAGATACGTGAGCTGGTATTAAAGTATATATGTAGTCCTAACTCCATAATTTTAGCAGTTGTCACTGCCAATACTGACATGGCTACAAGTGAGAGTTTAAAGCTCAGCAAAGACGTTGATCCAGATGGCAGACGAACATTGGCAGTCGTTACAAAATTAGATCTCATGGATGCTGGTAAATTTACTTTTTCATCTTTCTTGATAACTTTACATTCTCTCTTCAAATTTGTCAAAAAGCACAGAATCGATTGTAACAACAATTATTAAATACATCTTTTCTCTTTTTAAGGGACTGATGCCATAGATATTCTATGTGGTAGGGTCATCCCAGTTAAACTGGGTATTATAGGTGTAGTTAATCGTTCTCAGCAAGATATAATGAATAACAAAAGCATTCAGGAAGCATTGAAGGATGAAGCCACATTCATGCAACGTAAATATCCAACGTTGGCTAACAGAAATGGCACTCCATACTTAGCAAAAACTCTTAATCGTTTGCTTATGCAACATATTAGGGATTGTTTACCAGAGTTAAAGGTAATAATATTAATAATAGAATTGAATTACGGGAGAGATGTAGCTAGAATCTACTAAAGTAAGCATAATTTGGTAGAACTTGTGTTTTTTTAAAACAGAACAGAGTGAATACAACGGTAGCGCAATATCAAACCCTATTTAATTCTTATGGCGGGGATGTCGAAGACAAAAGCCAAACCTTGCTACAGATCATCACGAAATTTGCAAACAGCTATTGCGCTACGATAGAGGGAACGGCGAGAAATATAGAAACCACCGAGCTGTGCGGTGGCGCTCGCATTTGCTATATATTTCACGAGACGTTTGGTAAAACGCTCGATTCGATTAATCCACTGGCAGACCTCAGTAAAGTCGATATATTGACCGCTATTCGCAACGCAACTGGTCCAAGACCAGCTCTCTTTGTGCCAGAAGTCTCCTTTGAGCTGTTAGTTAAACGGCAAATACGAAAATTGGAGGATCCTTCGTTACGTTGTGTAGAACTTGTACACGAAGAAATGCAAAGTATAATACAGCATTGTGGCACTGAGGTGCAGCAGGAAATGTTGCGTTTTCCTAAATTGCATGAGCGTATCGTCGATGTTGTTACACAGTTGCTACGTAGACGACTCCCACCTACCAATTCAATGGTAAACTAAAATATCCATTCTATGTACGTATCCATTACGCGTTCCTTATACTCATATAAAATGGTTTAATTTTTTTGAAAACAGGTAGAAAACTTGGTCGCCATAGAATTAGCATACATTAACACTAAGCATCCCGACTTTCACAAAGATGCAGCATTTGTGTCATCTTTACTGAAGGACACTGATGTAGATCACCTGAAGCACAATAAACGATTAACTTCAGCATCTAGTACTATAATCACCAATGACACGGTAAATAATCTCTAATGTTCTTATTGAAATTTATTACTAATTTCTTTTGTGCATAACTCACTGAAAAAGTTACTGTGTTTCAAGGATAATTTAAATTGTGATTAGCAACATTTATGTGTGTTTCACAAATTATTCGTTATTTTATTCATTTCAACTTTTTTACGCCATGTTTGCTATTAATAGTAAAATATATTTGTAACAGATTGTAAAATCAGTCAATAATCAAGATGAGATGAACTCTGTTTCTGATCAGACTAAGGAACAGCAAGGACAGCAAAATCACTGGCTGCTAAGTAACTTATTACTCCAGGGAAGAACGGAGTCAACGAGTTCCGCGGATGGTTCTCCGATCAGGATGCGTGAAAACAGTAACTCCCCAAATCCGAGCATGAATCCAATGATTGAACTACAGAAGGCATCTCCGCAACAGAAACCAGTAAATCTACTGCCTGCGGTACCAATACAGACATCCCGAAAACTTAGCGATCGTGAGCAACGGGATTGTGATATTATCGGTAAAGAAGTCTATCGTATTGAACGTCACATTACACCTATTGCGTAGGCGTAGTTATAAGAATTGACCAAACACAATCGAATATTCTTCTCGTATTCGGCTGTGATTGATGAATTTTTACAACCACTTACGCTTACATAATTGTAAAACAAGCTTTATTAACAGACTAATTTTAATCTTTTTTTTGTTGTTCGCAGAAAGACTCATAAGATCATATTTTTATATTGTACGAAAGTCTATTCAGGATAGTGTACCAAAGGCTGTTATGCATTTCCTAGTCAACCATGTGAAAGATAATTTACAAAGCGAACTTGTCACACATTTGTACAAATCAGATCAGGCTGAAGCCTTGTTGATTGAAAGTGAACACATTGCTGTTAGGCGTAAAGAAACAGCAGACATGCTTAAGGTATTTTTATTTGACATAAAAAGTTAAATATACGCTTCTTTATAATAATTGATCTCTAACGATTACCCTAATTTTGCAGGCATTGACTCAAGCAGGTCACATCATTAGTGAAATTAGAGAGACACACATGTGGTAATTGAATGCCTAAATCTTTACATCACCGGATTCTAGTTGAATTTAGGTATTGCATCTCTGTGTTTTAATCAACTGGATGTACTTTACCAATGTATATGATGAATCATTGTATATAATTCTTGTCTCTCTCACGCAAGTAAGGTATCGCTAATGAAAAGCAATGATCTTAATATGTTATGTCACCCAGTTTTATAGTATGAGCATGAAAGAGGCATAACATTGTACTTAAAATGCGCATTTGTGCGCAACCGTCTTATTATTTGATTCACAAGATGTAATTCAGTTTCGCTCTTTTACTCGGCGTTAGATGTATATGCTGACCTATCATTGTACGAAAATCAATTAACTCTTGAATAATTTGTTTTGTATCACGCATTTTACCACGAGAATTATATGCTTCTTAATTACTCAGTCTAACCTTGCATTGTCTCAGGAACTGTTAACGAGAATGCAATTGGAAATTATTGTTCCATGTATTTTCTAGTTCTTCTGATTGCATAATTTTTTTTTCCAATTTTTTCCAGAATAAAAAGCTGGATGTATCTATTCTTAATGGATTGTGTCGCGTTTTTTACAGGCTGTAGAATAAACGTTGAAATAATTATTTCAGTACTTTAAATAATTGTTATGAACCAACTAAGGGAGTATTAGACGGAAATAGAGCCAAGAGAATTGTAACACTGGATGATACATTGTTCTGTTTTGATACCTTCGATATTCGGTTCAGTCAAGTGTTTGTTGACAAAGTCCGCGTGCTCGAATAGCAGAGGCATCGCGTCATTATAATTCCCCTGATACATTTTCGCGATGGCACTCAGTCTCTTTTGAATCGATTTACAAAGTTGCTTCTCGATTTTCTTTAAATCAATAGTTTTCTCGCATTTGGCACACCGCTGATTCGTTGCATCTATTATCGAGAGATCTATTGGTTCCGAACACGCCGTGCACTTATAATTCATTATTTCTGGTAGCGGAAATTTCCAATTCTGTTTGCAGGCATCGCATCCGCACAGGAATCGATATTTCTTCCACAAGAACTCACGTCTGTTCAATTTGCTTTCGCTAAGAAAATGAGGTCCATAACAATCTAATATCTCGCATCCTTTGCTGATGAAGCGCAGAGCTCTAACCACGACTATTCCTGTAAAATGAGAATTATTAAAAATTTAGTTCATCTATCTATCGTCTTCATCAATTTGTACAGTTTGTTCCTGATTGGATCGCTTACCATTTGGATAAGAGTGGCGAACCACGTTGGGATAACAGCTATGGTTCACGAGACTGACCGTGCTGTAAATCGCAGCACCAATATTCCTGGGATCCCAGACGCGCGTTGCCTCGTCGTGAACATTCTCGATAATTTCATATGCGTTGCAGTTAATCGCCTGCAAATGATGCAACATAGCGACAGCTAACAAAATGATCGTTTCCGTTGTGCAAACGACGTCCAGTTTGTTCAGTACTGAGATCAAGCATTTCGCAAGAAAAATTGCCTCAATGGTACGAATAAGATTTACGTGAGGTTCCACATCAGCGCAGTGAGTCTCTAGTTGAAATACCGTTCGATAATCGAGAGGACTGTACGTCCTCTTTGATCCCAAGTCCGCGCACTCCTTGCTAATATCGTTATCTTTATCTTTTGCGTTACCACTAGCATGATATCGTAGGAAATCAGGATTCAAAACGCACGTCGTTTCTGTTCTGTTTCGTAGCGATAACGCTTGTATAACCGTTGTGCGATAAGCTAGCAGGAGATAAGACGATTGTTGACGTTCGTTGTTCAACGAATTTTTGAAGAAGTAATTAAATACCGAACACTCGTATTGGTGATACGTCTCCCACGCTTTCTTGCGACATACCTCCGTGCAAAAGGCCACCTGGAGAACGCGAGACAAGATTTATATTGGAGAATCTGTGGCGTACAAATTGTAGGAAGACACGAAAAGAAAAAGAAATAAATTAATACGGGAATTCTAACAGGCGAAGGTATGGATAATTATATCTGGTGCTATATACATGGCGCGTAGCATGCGCGAATATAAATCATGCGCTCTACTAACTGTTTGGCAATTGCGGCATGGGATTCTAACGCTGTCTTCTAGTTTAAGTGTGGCATGGCAATGCAAACAATTCCTGCCGAGATCCGATGCGTCCGTGCTAAAGGAAAACGGCCGATCGACAATGAGTATAGTCCCCGGTCTGATGTCTTTTGTAGCCACGAGGTGTCGGCCCCTGACCTCATCGACCTGCAACTCAACGCTGTCCGAGCAGCTCGTAAGACAGCTATGCGGCTTGCCGTCGACGGTGGGCGACGTGCCGCTGGAAGAAGAACGGAAAGAGGAGGAAGAAGAGGAGGAAGACGTCCTTCCACGGGCGCCGCGTTTCCTGGAGGACGAGGCTTCCAACTTTCGGAAGCACTCTCGCTCTAGTTGAAGGCATTCCTTCCTACGCTGCACGAAGTATTTAACGTTCTCCGCAGAGTCGTCATAGAAACTCGCAGGAAGCGCCAGCATGCACTCGCAGTCTCGCAGGCAGCTCGCGTAAGCGCGCAGACTGTAGAAACGCCTAGTGCGCTCGCAAATCGCATCTAGAAACACTCTACCGTTTGCACTGGCCGCAAACAGTGCTTGCGTGAGAATATTACAGGTTCTAATCTCTGCGTGCTCATCCCCGGACTCTATTGTCGCTCCAAATGACTTCTCGTACAGCTGCGCGGCCTGCGCGTCATTCTTACCCTCATACGAGTCGCCCGGTTTCAAGTTTATCACATAGGACATTTCCATAAGCATCCCGACCATTCCTCGTCTATCACCCGATGCGGATAGCCTCGCGAATTGAGTCGCGAGCGGTTCCTCTTGCGAGACAGTGTCGTGCACAACACGACGAAATTCGTCAAGCAGAAGGTTTCTATAACAAAACAGGCGAACAATCAAAATAATTTTTTAATACTCCACTTGATACAAAATATTAAAAAACGAGATTTTTCGACAATGCAATAAATGTAAATTCTTAATTCATTTTAAACAATCAACACTGTGCAGATAATGTATTAAAACGAAAACAAAAAAAATAACAATGTCCATTTATGTCATACATTCGAGCCAAAATATACAATTGTCTGCAAGAAGCAAGAGTTTAATTTTGAGAATGAAATACAATGAAAATAATAATCTTCAGAGATTTAATATTCAATAAACTGATGTATTATGTGCATCATGTATAAAACGGAATGCACTCATTATTTATTGAGAAAATTTGTTATCGAAAAACATAGGAGATACTTGGAGTTTCTCTAGACATTAAATATTTTAAATTCATTACGAACGCGTTTGTGTGAGTTATGTAACAGTTAATGTAATAGTATATAAAATTGATGTGTCTGAAAACATCAGTCGAACGTGTAACGGCGATTCCAATTTTATCACAACCAAGTCGCAGCTACAAACGTGTTTCTATCCTTATCTAAATTTAACACTAAATTTAATCGCGGACAGAAATAGAGCATGAACGACGACAGCCCGTAAAGTCACGGAAGCGAACATTCCGTTCGCAGAATTTGTCATTAGGCGGAGAACCAATCCGATTTTGCAACAAGTAACTTCAAACGAGAGACCAGATTTAAACGCGGAGGGATTTTCTCTATCTCAATAGCCCAGGATCGAAAAGAAGCTGGCTTACCCTTGTTTCGTCAGAGACATTCCCGCTAATTGTTATTGAGACTGATCGACTGTGCGTTTAATACGAAACATCCGCGAGCTCTACTTTCTCGTACAAAGACGTGAATGCGACGGATTCTAAAATTAGGCCGACGGTGTATTCGTCTCCTCATACGAAATGTGCCCGATGATTTTATATAAAGTAAAACGTAGGAAATGGATTTCAACCATTCACTTACGGACATACTTTACGCCCTATTACCAGAAAATCAGCTTATTCCCGATGTGTCTTGCAACCTTATCACTATTGTTTCTCACATTCTACTATGATTGGTTGATTTTTGCGCCTACTCCTTAATCCGCTACTGCTATTGCCATTATAGACCACACATAAGAGATATAGACAAAGACACCAAAGTTTTGAATTTGTTCAAGTTTCATCTTGATTCTGATAAGAATAAAAAGTTATGAAACTATAAATATAATGAAGATGATAATATAAAATTAATGATATTAGTTAACGTAATTTGGAAGTTTTAACATACATGTATTTATCTTACAGATCTTTGCTTTGATTAGGGCCGGCAACTTAATTACCTCGCCCGTGGGTGTGGAATTTTTGACTAACGAAAGAAAAGAAAGGGAAAGTACAAAATAACGACCTTTTATTTTTTATTTATTTTGTGCTATTTGTTGCCATCCCCTTTTACAATTGCGAATTGCGTCGCTCTGTTTAACAGTCGGTAAGGGATCATTTATATTGGCTGTATAAACCATAATTGTAAGAATTAATTATATTCGAGTATTCCTCTCTCATTCAATTGTAAGAGAGAAACGCTCGACTGTGATTAGTCAATTTTTATAGATAACGGCCAGTATAAATGATCCCTAAAAGTTGAATCTCTGCTATGCGCGCAGTTGTACTGCCATCACAATTAAATATCAGTCGACATCTACGTACAACATTTTAAAGGGGGCACTTCATGTATCGTGCTGAAAATAATGTAATCTTTCGGAATCTTTTAATAGGAGACTATACGATAAATTCTTTTGAAATTTTCAAGATATATTATTGTAATATTCAATTACTAAAAAAATATTTTTTTGATAAAAAAACATTGTGAATTTTATAATAATTTAATTTTGATGAGTCGGCGTTGAAGTCGCTTGCCGGCGTACAATGTAACGCTGCTTGTATTCATCTGAAACAAAAAAAAAACAAAAACAATTTCTTTTTTGTAGAGTTTACGTTATTAATTGAACCTATTTTTAAAGAGAATGTCAAATTATAAAAATGGCGACATATAGAAGAAAAAAATATCAATTCCTACGAAAAATTTTCGTGTTAATTATGTAATAAAAGTAATTTATTTAAACAATACAATTATAAATAAAGGTTCAATTTATGAGGAAAGTATTTATCTAGATGTGTGCACAGGGTGAATAGTTCTTGAGTTATCTTGCACGCCAATTTTAAAAAAGTAGTTTCGAGAAAAACGCGTTTAAAGACGACGGCTAAAACTTCTTGATTGTTCAGGATTATGTTCTGGATAACATTTATCAAGATCAAGACCATTGGAGGTTGTACCTCTTATTTTCATTTTTACGTAAAAATGAATTTTTAGTGCATATATTATATAAGCTGGTATATTATATATACAAAGAAGAGGGAGGAGAGACACAAAATGATAACTAATCACTTTGGACCCCAGCGAAGCGCGCAAACTTCAAACGCACATAATACTGAAAATTAAATGATTGGGGTCCAATGTGATTGGCTGTTAGCTCACCACTATTTTTGACTATTGCGTATCCACGGGAATAGCTCCTTTCTTACTCCACCTTTCTTATTCCACTATGGAATGGACTACCAATGGTAGTGGAGATATAAAGACGAGTAGAGCGAAAGGCAGATAAATGGATGAACATTCTTTCTCTGTTTACTAAAGCCTAATTGGTTGCTGCTGACCCAGCAGTACTGTTCCAACCAATAATAAATGGAATATTTTGGAACATTTCAGAGAAATTGCTGAAAATTTATTGAAACACCGAAAGTAAATTTTTCAGCTAACATACTGAAAAATCGTTGAAACTAAATTAAAATTACTCTGAAATTTCTTGGAAAGTTTTGCTGAAATTTTGCTAAAAATGAATTTTTCAGCTAAAATCTTTGCCGAAGTGTTCCAAAACGTGGAATAATTTCAGCGAAATTTTTCCACCAAGGATATAATATAATACATAATATATTGTATATTATATATTGAACACTCACTACTTTTTGCTTTCTCAGCATCTTATAGCGAAACATTAATTTTATATTACTCTCAGTATTACTCTCAGCATCAATTAATACCAACTCCTCCATCTTTTTCATCTTTATGCTGCAGCTGCCTCACCTTGATAGTCGCAATAGCCGCAGTCGGAAGTGACAAAATTAGTAACGTTCCCTCATTTCCTTGCACCACTGCCGCATGCTACGATAGTTTTTGGAATGTTCACAGTGCTGCCTGCGAGTGTGGAACACAGCCTTAGTAGAAGTAGAAGAGCAAATATTCTTAGGCAATTTGACACAAACATATGCTCCAGCTACTTTAAAGGTATTGTCATTAAAGCCTTCCTTCCACTTTATATCTCTATATTGACCTGCTTTGTGCTCAAAACAGATACTTCTGACACCAGTTCCATAGTTTCTAAATTCATGCGAAATCTGTGATACAGCATATAACAAAATGTTAATTGAAAGCAGTATGAAATATCTTATATTTAAATTTTCATTACATAAAACATCAATTATTATATGAATTATTTTATGGATACTAACTTGCAGCCATTGATTCTGTCTCTCTCCCTCTACAATATCTTGAAATTTTAAACACTTTATTAGTGAATGAACATTATTGGGCCCTCTTTCACCATATAAACTAACATTCAACTTATATATTATTGGATCGCCCGTAGGACAGCAATACCAGTCGCTCACCTACAATAATATATGAGGCATATATAATTACGCATAAATATGTAGTACACACACGCGCGCGCGCGCATGTGTATACAGGGTGTCCGGAAAATCGCCCGCAATACTTCGGGAAGTGATTCGGAACCCAAAAAGAAGGAAAAAAAGCTATATAACCATAGGTTCGGAAATAAGTCGTTTCCGAATTATAGCCACTTTTATGTTAAAAAAATTGTAATTTATTTCATAATCACATAGCCGCTATATTCAGTCGGGATGACAGATATCTTGACCTTTAAAATCTCGAACTTCAACGTTTAATATCTCGGTTCACGAGACCGACCACTGCATTTTTTTGCCAGATTCTTTCATTTAGAGTGAAAACGCGTCGAATGAGTACATTTTTATTAAGATTCTAGAGTAGGACCTATATTCTAAATGATTACTTAATTTATTTCGTAGTGTTTTAACATAAATAACTACTTTTTGGACTATTTTGGTGTTACCCAGGATGCACCACGTAGAGGCATAGTCCGCTTGGCATCACTTTTTTTTTAATTAAAAAAATTTTTTTTTACTTTAATAGAGGGCTGCCAAGCGGACTATGCCTCCACGTGATGCATTCTGGGAAACCAAAATAGTCCGAAAGGTAGATATTTATGTTAAAACATTATGAAATAAATTATGATTGTGATTATGAAAAATAAATTACAATTTTTTTAACATAAAAGTTGTTACAACTCGAAAACGACTTATTTCCGGACTTATGTTTATATACTTTTTTTTTCCTTCTTTTGAGAATCATTTCCCGAAGTATTGCGAGCGATTTTCCGGACATCCTGTATATTATATGTACACGCACGCATGCTAGGCGCATTCAGTACTACACCACTCAGTAAACACTGAACGGGGCGTTGAGTGGCTCACCGCTCAGTGCGATTGACTTGCAATCTGTGGATCCGGGTTTCGATCCCACCTGCGCCCCGCGCATACGTGATTTTTCATGGTTCGCCGTTCGAATTCGGCGAATTAAACTGTAGATCCCCGCGAATATTTACAAACTACTATCACCAACTTCTGACTAAATTAATCAACGATCAACTCGCACTATAGTGCTAACAGCAGTTTAATGTATCTCTCTCTTCCTCTTCTGTGTTTAGTTCTCACGTTGGCAATCGTGGTGATCGAGTTAACCATCAATTAGCGTTAATCGAGGTTGGTGAAAGAGGCCCTGAGAGTAAAATTCCACTACTATTGAATATAAGAACATAAAACTGCTCTAGAAGAAACTCTAAAGCTTACTGATACGTATGGTACTATGACCCTGTACAAGGGGTCGGAAATCCATACAGGGTAATGAAGGAAAGGAAAGGAAAGGAAACAAGAGTGCGTTGTAGTACTGAATGCTCCCATCTTTTACATAAAGTTTGATTATACCATTATGGGTGGTTGATAAGTATCCAAGATATATGGAGAGATCCCTTCATACTCCAGATGTATATATTGTTCTTTAGAAGGTATCTCTCCTTTTTCAAACAAACAGAAATTAAAACAGGTTTGTGTGTCTCTGAACAATGGTTCGGTTTGCGGCAATTCTGGCACTGAATCAGGTAGTTTTTCAACAAGGATTAGCGACCTGAACAACTGAACATTATTTAACCCAATTTTTTTTGTGGGTATTTCCCATTTACATATGCCTATCGCACCGGAATGGTTTCTTATTAAGTTTCTCTCAAATAGCTTCTTTGAGCATGCTATATAATATATGGACCAGGGCACTTCATTGTTCCATAGAATCGATTTGTCCATCAGCGTCTGTTTAGTCTTCTTATACCATACGTAGGTCATTAGCGTCTTCCAGCGCTTGCATACCAATAGGCAGTTCATAATAGTAGTCTTGCAGTCGATATGGGCGAAGATCTTCATCAGCATTTCGACTGGTAGAAATTTATCGCAGAGTATCAAACCATCGTCATTCTCTTCATCAAACTCCACGTGAAAATTCGAAGGAGTAGCATTGAATTGTTCCATCATCTGTCAACACACTTGATACTCCTAGCAAAGATAAAAATTGGAGCGTAAGTTCCCGATAAAAAATTTTTCACATATAATTATAAAATAAATTATACATAATTATATATATTACATATTTTTGCATAATTTTATATAGTGATATATGTGAAAAACTTTTTACCGGATTGAATGTAATAGGAGAGTATGCTTATACATACTGAACGCGATGAGCGATATTCAATGAAAGCTCTGCTTTTTTGCACGTGACGATGCAAAGCAGAGTCCTCATTGGATATCACTCGTCGCTCATCACTTATCGCGCGTTATCGAGGCCGCTTTGGCGCTCACAATGCTTTAAGTGTAGTGTCCCTAAAGCCGTAATCACACTACAGGCTCCTGACTCTGACTCGACTGCCAACTCTGACTGCCGGCCTATAATGGACCAATAATAATGAGACTGATTTATTGTTTTTGGTCCATTATGGGTCGGCAGTCAGAGTTGGTAGTCGGTCAGAGTCGGGAGCCTGTAGTGTGATTACAACTTAAAAGGTAGAGTCTGACCATACATCGTGATTATTTTCATTGGTCAATCCCAAAACCCTCCTCACAGTGGCGTGGTCACACAGTAGAGAAATCGCGCGTGTATATATATATATATAGATTACAATCCGCTTGAAAATATGAAGGCTATAAACGCTTCGAAATACCTATTATACGCAATAGTATTTTATGTATTCTGTAAATAATGTATATTGCATAATAAAATTCCTTTTATGATTAACATAGTGTAAATGTTATTTTTACTTAGGTTAGAAAGCTACTTACGGATTTTACATTTCTAATAAATGTGAAATTGACGAGTTGCAACATAATATTTTAACTTACCGTTCGACTGTCCTTATGTCCTTTATTAATGTCGGTTAAAAGGGTAACGCCTGCGATATGTACTTAGAGAAAGACATGATCCCCACCACTTACTGACGCCATTTTGAGGGATATGTGGCCAGACTCTACCTTCCAGGGACACTATTTAAGTGTCGTTTCATCCTTGTTATTTATTAAATATTAAACAAGGACAATTGATGCTCACAAGCACTGTAAGCGACCGCAGCCCCAGTGTGCAGTAGGCGTAACAGAAGCATAAACGAAGCTTCTACAAGGCTTTTAGAAAATTGAGACATAAAACATAAAAGAGGGGATTACGTTGTCTCAATTTTTGCCTTCTAGAACAGTGCTCGCAAGGATTGTACATTTCGGACTGATTCCGGCGCGCAACCCCCACCACCGCTCGAGGCTCGGCAGCCCAAATTCCGAACCGAAATTCCATGTAGTAGTAGTTGCGCGGTCTTGCAATAGATGGTGTTGACATATGTTAGATAAGGACAGATGCGTTTAAGTGAGATAGAATGATATATACAATAATATAATGTAAGAAATTAATCAGATGTTACTATTATTGAATTTGAAGTTAGAAAAGTCTGCACTATCGACCTCGATCAAGTTCGGTAATCGGTTTAGGATTCCCTTAAACTGAACGTCAAAACCAAACGCAACTATGCGATATCAAACAGTTGATACAAAGAGATATTTTCCGCTTTATTGCAGGAAAGATCGCCGTGTCACTTGAATCAAACAAAATTCTGTATCAAAATATTAATTTTGCGATATTTAATAGCCGCTAATTACTTACGGTTACGATCAAGAGCAAGCGTGGCAGAGTAGACAGCGCACTGGTTTGCTATATGCTAGAGATCCTGATTCTCGATCCTGACTCTAGAACCAAAAATATCTTCATAAGCTTGTATCTCCTCTCAGAAGGAAAAATGGCAACCTACCGAGAGTACCTTTGACAAGAGCACTTCTTTTACAACAAAATATCCTTCGGAATCGACGTTATACTGTAGATCCCATATGACTGTGTACAACCAGCACCACGTGGGCTTTTTCTTTTTGTATGGCCTATGCCCCGTGCACTGAGGCAATTTGGTACTTTTCCGGTAACGGAACGATTCACCACATGGGCATATCAGAGAAGTTACCACAAGCAATAGGACTGAGGAGGAGACTTACGGCTTGCGTATATATTATATGTTTGTTATCTCTAAAACTTCCCAAGATCTTCGTACGCAGGAGAAAAGCGTGACACGAATCGACAAATGTCGATAATTGCTTAATTTTCGAAAGACGCGTTCAGCCCGAATTTGTTCGACCGGCTTGGAACAGTGATCTGCAGCGATCCACAGCGATTTCAAATTGGGTGGATTTAGTACTACAACCGCTCACTGAGCGCTCAGTGAGCGCTTGTCTCTGGTCTATATTTTTAGTTCTAACAGAATATGCCAATAAGATGCAAGCGTTTACTGAGCGCTCAGTGAGCGCTTGTATTTTATTGGTATATTCTGTTAGAACTAAAAATATAGACCAAACAGATACAAGAGCTCAGCGCTCAGTGAGCGGTTGTGCTTCTAGGGCCGGAATCTACAGTCCAGTCTGTCCGGTCAATCTCAAGCAATAGACGAGTTCAAAGTCGGTATTCATAGTTGGTTCTTATTTCAAGACCGTCTTAAGTAATGTCTTAAGATGCCAATGCGGCCCTCTGATTGGTTCATGACACCTCAAGACAGAACTTAAGATAGTCTTAAATATAAGAGATCTGACTATGAATACCGGCCCAAGACTGCAAAGCGGCTAGGCATGCTTATCGAGCGATTGAATATGATTGGTTGGATCTATAAGTAATAATCAATTATGTTCATTTGCTCGGCGAGCAGACTAGCCGCTTTGTCAACTTGAACGCGCACAATGGGTGCGTTCAGCAGAACGTTTGTTTTGCAACTGTTGTACTATAAGTACAACCTAATCCTTTAATTTCCTTCACGCTAATTGGATCATACTTTTAGATCTAGAAGAATGGTCCTATCTCAGCAGACAATCATAAAACGGTTGCAAAACTGTTGAGTCTGCTGAACGCAGCCAATGGCTGAATGCACCCATTTACACGACATCCTTAAGGCCATCACACGTACAAAAATTTTAGTCGTATCGTAAGGCCGTAAGCAAATTGGCCAATCACGTCGAGCGTTTTTAAACGCGAGATCGTAATTTTGATTGTGATTGGTCGATTTACTTGCGACCTTACGATTACGACTAAAATTTTTGTACGTGTGATGGCCTTTAGGGTCATTGTCACCAAGCTCAGTTAACTTAACTGGCCAGTTAGTCCATCGGAATTGACCAATCGCATTTATCATTTTGTTTGCTTCAAATTTCTATCTGATTAATATTTCTATCTGAAAATATTGCAATTATATTACTGCATAAATTAATTGACTTGTCTTAATCGTCGATTTAAGTTAATTGATTTTTGATCGAAATTTCCATTAAAACGCGCGTATAATTGCACGTAATTGCGCTCGTTTTATTTGCCCTTTCTGCACTCAGGTGATATCTTCGCTCCTTCTCTTTTCAACGAGACAACATATATGTCGTCCCATTTTGGGTGCAAAGAGTGCCAAAAAGGTGCAATACAAGTGAGGCAAGATTATCGAATTTTCACTATGATTTCCCACTCCCGTCGCAGAAAAAATCTCTAACGGTTACTAGATTACGAGCAGCCGTCACATGACAGCGACGGGTGTGCGTGATCTTTTTACGAGTCTCTCAATGTGAGAATCTAGGATTTGTCAGACAAAATACGAAAGGACTACCGGGCTACTTGGCTTCTCCCCGGAGTGTCGGCAGTGCTTGAAGACCGCGGAATATTACATATATTACATTGCGAACAGCAAGGCTTACTGTTGTAACGATGAGGTATATCCTGGGTAACACATTTGCGATCACCGCCTCGGCGACGATCCTTATTTTGGGTATGCTTCATGTATATTATAATAATATAACACGTTAAAGCTTCTTATATGTTTGATATTTTGCCGAAATATTCATACGTGATATTGCTAACAATCTCGTGAAATGTATTTATTTTACTGAATAATCTTCGAGTTGCATAAAAGAGAGAGAGAGAGAGAGAGTTTATATATATACATTTCTTTGATATAATATATTTCGTATTTATATATCTTGTTTATGTAGTTTATACTATATATTTATATAGTATGTAATATGTATGTTGCAGTTTTGTATTATATATTTACTGGCAAAGGAGAGCAGGTTAGCGTTGGATGGTAAGTTCACATGTTTGTCTTATGTCAGTGGATGTTTCTAACAAGGACACAGTCAGATATTGTATAACACAGTGAGTCGTTTCATCCTTGTTTAACGTTGGCAAACAAGGACGAACTGACTCACTGTGTTACATAGTGTTTGACTGTGTCCTTGCTAGAAAACACCCAGTGATTTCTTATCTTATTGAATTATTGATGCAAAAAGATTCTAAACAAAATGTTTGATTTTCATTTAGGTTCTTGACGAATACTTCTCCATATATGTGGTGCACGTTGGGTATAGGTCTATCAGTAGCTTTGTCTGTAGTAGGTGCTGCATTGTAAGTTCGATTTATTCTTGTCTCCATCAATATAGATTATCTTCAATCTCGGTTCAATTTATTTTTCATCTTTTTCTAATTCATAGAACTAGGAAAAGATGAAGAGTAAGTTGAACCAAAATTAAAATTAATCTATATTGATGGAGATGGATATTAGAGTTTTGAGTGGAATCACATTTAAATTTGTATTATATATGTCATTTATTTGTCTCTCCAGAGGTATCCATACAACAGGAGTGTCTATCGTCGGTGGTGGTGTGAAAGCACCTAGAATCAAGACAAAGAATTTGATTTCTGTGATATTCTGTGAGGCTGTAGCTATCTATGGCTTGATCACTGCCATTGTTCTATCTGGAATGCTTGATAAATTCTCTTACACAGAAATTTACAAAAATGAAGAAATCAGAAGTCAGAACTGGTTGTCTGGATACTTAATGTTTGGTGCTGGTTTGGCTGTTGGCCTCGTCAATCTTTTCTGCGGCATAGCGGTCGGAATTGTTGGCTCTGGTGCAGCTCTCGCCGATGCGGCTAACTCTGCCCTTTTCGTAAAAATTCTTATAGTCGAGATTTTTGGTTCTGCTATTGGACTCTTTGGTTTAATAGTTGGTATTTATATGGTAAGTTGGTGTTCATATGAACATGTTACGAATACAATTGGAAATATTCAAGACTATGTAACTAAATATATCCTCAGTGAACATATTTTCATATTTCCATATTTTTGTTTCAGACATCCAAAGTGAAAATGGGCGACAAGCTATCATAAATTACGAGAGAATAAGCTATGGAGTATCGGGATCACAATGTTCCATTCCACATTTAGTCATCAGTAAAAGAGATTCTAGAGGAATGACTGCATATCTATAAAATCATTGTGAGATCAGAAGAATTTTTCAGATACCAATGTGAATTTGGTATATTGCATGTCTGTAATTACATTCATACGATTCTAGGTGACAATTTAACATCCTTTTTGTGTCTATAATTGTGAATATTGTCTGTTATATTATTGGACGCATCATTCTACTTCTTTTGAAACATAAAAATGGCTAAGATTAAATGTTATAATAGGCCATAATTTTTATCGATGTTAGAAAGCAACGTAAATTTTGTTAAACATTTTGAGTGCGTTATAGCGCTCACTTTTGCATAAGTTAATGTACATATTTTCTTGTCAATGTAAGTAAAGTATGTAATACAAAGTACTATAATAATTTATCCTCTATATTCTAATTGTATCTACTCGTTAGCTAATTAGTGGGAAAATAGTTGATTATAAAAATTAACGTGAGTCATCAATCCCTTAAAAAGTATTAAAAATATTTATTTAACAATTGTATAAAAATTTTTGAGCTAATATCAGAGATAATATTCGTCATCGTCATTGCTTTTTCTTTAAGAAGACTTGTGCCTATCTCTGATATAACATGATTATAAACATTCTCTTATAATGTATAATATACAATAATTCAATGATCTCAGTGAAGATACATTTAAATAAAGATATAACTAAATGTATGTATATAGCAAATTACACAACCATAATACTTGTCTTATGTATGTAATACATCATGGATGCTCTTGAATGCATGGTTTAGCGCTTGCACATATTGACTGGCGTTATGATTGCCTTCATAACTCGTCACGGTTGAACCCAAACGTTCGTCCTGGATCATATATCTAAACAAATACGTATTAGTTCTGTTTAAAAAATCATACCCAAAGATATAACAAAGTATTAACAATTATATCATTTTCAGTGTTAATAGCAACGTAACACGAATGTCTTACCCAATTCCATAGCCATCAAGTACCACTGGTCCAAATCCACCAAACATTATATCTAGGCTTGATAAAGTAGATGTAGACAATATATTATGATTTAAAGCATCGTAAGCGGAATCTTGAAAAATAGCTGGCTTAGTGGAACCCGATTTCTCTGAAATTCTTCTCAAAACGAATAGATGCCTATCAAATCCCTGACCTGTAAAGTATTTCATCAAATTTATATACGTTCTTTTTATAAATCTGCTAATAATGATCAAACTAATTACCCATTACAGCCTCTTTCGTAAGCATGTTGTGAGTTTTACTACATTCAAGTATCATCTTTTTTAGCTCTGATTTAGAAAGCTCGATTTGCTTCTGAGTCATAGCAACACAGACCGCTTTAGTCTCTAATGTACAAGATCTGATAGTTTCTGTTCTGCCGTGTTTGTATGCAGCTGTGCTGCAAGATTCATAAGTTGGTACCGATTTGCCTTCTAGGATATACAATGCCAACTGGAATGCCAACTGCATCATGGCATCTGGACTTATTCCGAACTTCTTGCACTGTTTCTTACCAAACTCTTCATTAAGTACAAAATCGACGCACAGTCGATTCACCCATGTTTGATTATCTGCTTTTTGCTGATCGATGATACCTTTGCTTTTCGCATCTAAAGAGAATTGTAGTCTCTCTATGTTCACGTTTTCTTTAGAAAGATCATCTACTTCATTAGGATGAAATCTAGGTTTCTTTGATATATCGGCTTTCACATCCTACAAGATGACAAAGATCTTTACATTTCGTAGTTCTCAAATGTTTAAGATAATTAAATTAACGATGCCTAATACGCTTAAAGCTGAAACAATATATTGCTCACTTGGAAGTATCTGAGTACCGCGACACCATCGCCCCATGAATGCTCAAAGTTGATTCCACCATAGCCATCCTTAGAAAGAATAAGGGAAAACGATTTGTCAAACCATCTGTTGGTACCGTCTGTATGTAAATATGTTTTAATAAGCTTGTTATAGTCGGTACCAATAATTTCGTCATCTAAGATCATTATGAATACAGCCGAATCGATTTTCTGAAGAATTTGTCGATTCCCCGTTTCGACTAAATGTGAGCGTGCTCGTGCCCATTGATCTCTTTCTAACGATGTAAGAACGCCTACGGGATATTTATTTGCTGGTCTATCATCTTCCAAAATGGTTTTCAGGCATGCAGCTATCTCTTTAGGACTACGAATGGAGTCGTTCGCATCCAAAACATCGAACGCATAAAAATGACTCTTCCTCAGTACAACCAAATGCTTGGCTGAAGGATCATGAAAGATTCTATCTTTTCCTAACTCCGGTATTCTAGTTGTATTGAACAGATTCTTGTATTGGGACATATCTAATGGAAAGGCCTACGATAAAAAATTTTGTTAATTTTTTTTTACAAATTTCTATTTTTCTATCAATTTATCTTAAGAGTATTTGGCATAATTATTTTGCTATTTCTAATCTATTCATACCTTAAATAGATAAGCGCCATACCAGCTAAAGCGAGATGGGACCAGTCTTGTAACATTGCGGAATAATTGAGTGTCTGACTTCTCAGGTTTCATATGAAACACCTCTGGTTCCAGAATGTTATTCTTGAATGACTTTAAGAATCTCAACGATGATACGACAAGGTTTGTCGCTTTTACCAATTGCGTATCATATTTTGGATCAGATTCTGGCGTATAAATTAAGAAAGGATTATAATTGATCGGCAAAGGTTTGCGATCTTGCAAATACATATCGAACCACGGTTCATTGATGTAACTGGTGTATGGATTCTCTATATTATATTGGAGTAACAGCTTTTGTAAACTCTGTCCCTCGCTAGTAAGAAATTTTGAGACGCAGGAGGATGTGTTTTGGAATTCCTTCTGATTCAACAGAGGTTTCTGCGCATTAAGATATCTCCTGCACGAGTCTTCAAGTTTTGGTATCGGTAAACGAGGCAAGGATGCTTGAAAATGTAATGTTGGAACTTTGCTCATCTGCATAAATTGATATTCTGTGGTGTCATATAAAACGGCAGTACTCCTGTAAAACAATTAAGACATATAATTGGTATCCGTTTCTTTAATTAAATAGCTGCACATTTAAACTTTGAACTGTCCTTATTTTATTCGAATTGTTATTCAAATTATGACACACGAGCTACATTCTACTTGGCGCTCGCAACGCTCTTGGAATCATTTCGTCCTTGTTTATTAAATATTAAACAAGAACAAATGATACTCGCGAGTGTTTTGAATATCAAGGAACGCATTTTAATTATACAGCAGATAATTTCACAGTAATGATAACAATGTAAATTTCAGAGCCTAAAAATAAAAAAATATCTTATTATTAAACACAGCAATAGAGAGTGGCATCATACCATATATGATGCCACTCTCTATTGCTAAAAATATATAAAAACAAAACATTACTACCTAGCTAATCGCTGTGTTAATGCCAGCCCTCCACGGCTTATCTGTAATGTAACATAACAAAAAGAAAAAATAGACGGGAAACGTGTCTTGTCTTAAAAATTAAACAGTGAAAATATTATACACATATATATATATATATATATATATGTCAAGCAACTAGTTTACCATAAATCCTTTTTTCGTCGTTAGGATAAACATCTTGTAATCCGACCCTCCCAACTTAATTACTTTTGAAAACGTAACAGAAAATAGGAAAATTTATCAAATCAAGAAATCAATGTACACTTGTATACGTGTATATGCACAGTGATTTCAGATGACAACTGTTCTCTACTACTGTACTGCAATCAAAAACAAATATATTTCCAGATCAGATGTGAGGTTGAACTACACTTGTACCAAAACTCTCCCTCTCCTTTTATCGAGCAAACGCTAGAGAAGGAAACGCAGCGAGACTTGCAGAAAGAACTCGATGCAAGTGCAGTCGTACTCCATAGGCCTGTTCTTTTCAGCTGAACTTTTGCACCAGTTCATCTTTCTTCCTCTTCTTTCTTCCTGGAGAGAAAAAGAAGAAAGATGAACTGGTGCAAAAGTTCAGCTAAAAAGAACAGGCTTCATGATTCGGAGCATTTTTGTACATTTGTTGACAGAAAATATATTTCTTTCTGATGACTTTTGAAACACATTCGGTGTATCAAAAGTCATTTAAAAAACAAAGAATAAAAACGGACTTGTAATAAAAAAAACGGACTATGAAATACTGACCTATGATTTATACCAGCCGTAGATTTTCTCGGCTGGTATTTTTAAAAAGTATTTCAATTCGTATAAAAATTCTGAGAAAAATTTCCATCAGAAAGATTACACGTTGCATAAATTTCTTCACATTCTGTTTAATAATTAGCAGTCAAATTAATAGATTCAGAATCAGAGGATTGATTCTATATCGTGAAACGAGGTGAAAATTATAAAAGTGAGCGAATTTACTAGAATACTGATGATTTCATTGGTCAACACCTAGTTAATGTGCTCACTTTTGTAATTTTCACCTTCTTTGAAAATACAGAATCGACCCCCAGATCTATCAAATCTATCATTGATAGATTTATTTATATTTAACGGAATAAAATTTAATTATTTAACTTTGAGCAAAAAAACATTCATGTGCGGTACATGTTCCTTTTTATTTATTATTTTGATAGATTCAATTTCAAAGCAACATTGTTAATTTCTTTTGGATATCAATCATGATGCTATCCTGTAGAATCTCTTGAGAGGGCGTCGAACGAATTTTCCGCTACGCTATCTACCGTAAAGCTGGCGGATCTTCGTTGGCGTATCGTCGATGACGGCGACGGTTGACTGGTTGACAGCGGTGGTTTTCAGTCGCCGCGCCAGTCACGGTTGGTCACGGTGAGAACGTTGTTTCGGTGTCCGATTGTTGCGGTGCGACGTGTTGTGACAGACGTAATCTGTCGCGGCTACGTAGAGCATCATCGTCGTCGCCGTATCGCTGCCGCAACCAGAGAAACACGACCGTGCAACAATGGCGATGGGCAAAAGTCTCCGCGTCTACGAGAAGCTAAATTCTCCCAAGCCGCACTCGGTCATACTCGAACAGCGGGGCCGCAAGGAGACGCTGCTCTTCGAATCGCAGGCGATCGCAGTCCTTTGTAAGTAACGGGCCAAGCCAAGCGGAGAGATGATCTGCTTGCGAACGCAACACCGGCGAGGCCGCGCACGCCCAACCTGTTCACCTTATCCCGCATCCTCCTACATCTCCTACATTTGAAATCAAGCAGACGCGTGTTTCACTCGCGAGTAGAGTCGCAAGTAAGATATCGTATAAG